CTTTGATCAGGCGAGCGGGGGTGCTCATTGCATGACCTTCCCCTCTCGTACCCAAGTTCCTGAGTCGAGGCAACTTTGGTGATAACGGACACGTGGCCTTAGGCACGAGTTAGGGTTTCCTAAATTTTCCCAAAATAAAATATTTAGGTGGCGACTCTGAAATCAGGCAAAATAATCCATGTTTTGCGCTTTTTGATTAAAATCGATTTTCCAAAACGATTTGCCAGATTTGGACTCTTTGGTGATTTATCAGTCTTACATTGCACTTTGTGAGATTAGATTTAGAACTGCGACATGAGTCCGAACTGTAGTAGCTAAGAACAACAATTCACGCCCTCGCGCGCGGAGCGGTGTTCCGGGCGGTCTACACCATATTCTTGCATTTATCGCCCTTTTGTTATGCTTTAGGGTTGAGCCTTATGCTTCACTTATAACCCTATATATATGCATGCTTGCCTAAGCTTTGGGGCTACCATCTCAGCATGTCTTTGGTGTTACTTTTCCACGTTACAATTCTGATTTTTGTTGGTAGAGTCACCTCTTACTTGGTTTTGGTATGTGTAGTGTAATCTCACTCATTAGCCTTGCATGCATCATACTTTATGCCTCCCTTTCTAGCTTATTTTGGCTACACTTCATCATGTTTCTAGCATTGTTTTGGCCTGCCTTAAGACTATTTTGAGTGATCTTGGTCCTTCAGGGCTTGCTTGATAGGGCTATGGTGCAAGTACCTTAGCTAGGCTTGAGTTTTGAGCACCGTAGTATGCTATGTTTGTGATAATTGCATGTTTGGGCATCGTTTAACATGTTATTTCAAAGCGTATACATATGTCATGTTCTTACTTCTTTCATTCCTTGATGGCTTTGAGAGTTGTGCCTTTATGCCTTGTTTATGGGCCAATACATGAGTATGCATTTCTTGCTATTTGAGCTTCAATTCCAGCATGTTGTAGGCTCTAATTTAGCATGATTAAGCTCTATCCAGAGCTGGTTTGGTTGTTTGTGCATTGTATTGCATGCCTCTTGTGTAAAGCCCTTGACTAGCTTTGAGTTCTAAGGACCCTAACATTCTATACTTGTGTTGTTTGCATGATACGGCATCATTTGGCATGTGAATTCAGAGCATATATCATTGTCTCACTCTCACACATATCACTCTTTCATTGTGTTTGAGAGTTGAGCTTTGTGCCTTACATGCGAGCCATAAGTTGGGAATGCTTTTCTTGTTTCTTGTGCTTGAGTTTCAGCACATTTTGGCCACTGTTTTGGCATGCATGAGGTCTGTTTGGGGTTGGTTTAGTCCATTGAACATTATATTGCATGTCTCTAGTGTTGTGTCCTTCACTAGTTTCATCATTTTAGTCCCTTAACATGTTATGCATGCGTTGTTTACATGTTGGAGTCTTGTGTTTCATGCCAAGCGTAGCATGTTGTTTGCATTACACGATGTTCAATCGGATGTTATGTTGAACATAAGGTGGATTGGCCCACTTCATACTTGAAGTGATGAAAGTGAGCCCATCCCCTTTGTCTCTGTTGCCTTTGATCATCCATAAGGAGGTACTGGATTTAGAGTCTTGTTTGCATTGCATTTATTGAATTTGTGCAAGTTGTATCTTTGGCCATCATGCATTGAGATGCTTGATTGATGGTCTTGGATCCAATGGTGCCTCTCCCTTGATGTTTTGAGATGACATGGAGGGGCATAGTACACACATGTTCTTGGGAGACCCTCAATTTCCTCTATTTTGTGCTCTGTTGCAGTTTGGTGTCACAACACACAGTGGCCGGCACCCTCTCATTGTTGGCCGGCACCCCTTCATCCTTGGCTGGCAAGAGGGTTGGCAGTCACCATTCATGGCCGGCAGGCCACTGGTGCACTCCTCAGCACTGTTTTGGTGAGATCCAGCAGCAAGTTCTTGAAGACACCCTGCAAACAGAGCCTCAAGAGAACATCCGTAGAGCTTTCCGGGGTGCAACCGAGCATGCATCCTCTTCTCTTCGAACAGAGCTAGAGCAGCTTAGTTTAATGCTTACTTGTTAGTTAGCATCAATTTTTAATTTAATTAATTAGTTGCTAATTGATTAAGTGTTGTAATAATTAGTAAGTAGTTTGCTAGTTATTTCATTGGTTTGTAATAATTAGTCCAATTAGTTTAATTAGATTAGTTAGTTAGCTTAGCTTAGTGTAGCTTAGCTAAATTCATTCGGACCCTCCGTCGAGAGGGCAAATGTTCTAATAAGAGTGCGTACGTGTGTGCATGTCTTCTAACCCCATTTCTTTCTCCCTTTTACTTACCCGCTTTCAGTGGTTAGATTAGGGCATATTTCAATTAGCATACTCATGCTTGCATGCGTGCATCCATTCATCTGTCTTGCATGCACCGGGCTTGGCGCATCATACAAACTGCTTTGTATTTCAATACCAATTTGAATACATGTTATCTAGTTGCATTCACATGACATCTTAGAATAGCCGTGCCTATCTTAGTTGCATTTTGCATGTATTGCATTAGGCATTGTTGACATAGCTAGGATCATGCATTGATTACTAATTAGCTTCCCACTTGGAGTGGCAAATCATCATGTTTTAAGTCCACCTTGTTTGGTGGCAAATCCGCATTTCTAAGCCAACCTGAGGATGGCAAATTCAAACCATTTTCAAAAACAAACATGAGATATTTTGTTCCAATTCTTGCGATTGAGTCTATACTTATATGTTGTGTGCATCACATAGTAAGTTAGCCAATAAACTAGAATAAGAACGCATGTGTTTTCAAAAACAACATATCATGTTAGTGGAGGCCGATCTTTGATCGGGCGAGTGGGGTTGCTCATTTCAGGACCTTCCCCTCTCGTACCCAAGTTCCCGAGCCAAGGGTTTCCTAAATTTCCCAAAACAAAATATTTAGGTGGCGACTCAGAAATCGGGCAAAGCAGTCCATGTTTGGCGCTTTTTGATTCAAAATTGACTTTTCAAAACAAATTGCCAGATTTGGACTCTTTGGTGATTTATCAGTCTTACATTGCATTTTGTGAGATTAGATTCAGAACCGTGACAGGAGTCCTAACTGTAGTAGCTAGAACTACAATTCACGCCCTCTCAGAAAGGGGGTCGCGTAGAGCGAGTTCAGGCGGTCTACAGTTTCTGGCGACTCTGCTGGGGATTTAGAGAACTTGACTCGAACATCATGATATGTTGTTTTATTTACACTTATGTGTTTCTTTGCATTGCATATGCGTTGGTGCGCCTAGGACACCGTGTTTGCCGTCTGCTATTCCTGAATGGTTTTCCGGAGGGTTGCTTGGAAAAGCATGCCATAAGGCTGATCGGTTATGGGCTCTGCCACGATGGGAACACAAACCTCATTTTTTACCAAGGCACCCTTTTTGACCATTCGACCTAGTGCATATCGGAAGCTGTAAAGACCATTCCAAGCTAGGACAGGTTGCTTACCCGATTGTAGGTTGTTTGAAACTGCTGCATGCATAGTGAAACCCTAGCTCCTGATAAGATAGGACAGGGAAACCCTACCCCTCCTTAGGGGTGTTTTGGCTCTCACTTGCTTGCTATGTGCTTTTAGAGTGTGTCCCTACAAGAATGCATATATAGTTTGCAAATCTGAGTATCAGTCTGAGGACATCAGTATTTGGGGGTATCAAATTTGAGGCAGTGATTTGGGGGCATTGATCAGTGTTTGAGAACAGTTCTTTCAGCTTGTGATTATCAACTGTGTGTTGTGTTTATTTAAGCTAAAATGCTGTCCATTTTTCTGCTTTATTTATCTTTTTGCAAGGTATTATAGCATCATTGCTTCCGAAGAGGCAGTTTCCCCCAAAGCACTCTGGGTTAGAGGTAGAAGGCTTCATCGATCCGAGGATCTAGTTGACGGACAAGCAGTGTTCTTTTCATTACCCCGGTTACAAGATGGAGGGCAGTGAGGCAGAGAGTATCGATACAGTAGTCGTTGGTTTGGAGATCATTGTCCACCCCACCAGTGAGTAGTCGGGCTGAGGTTTCCGTTTCTACCACAAAGAGATATACCTGTTCAGCTAGATCAGCACTTTGTGGCAAGTATAGAGGACATGATGCGTCAGCTCCAAGAGACCATGCAAGCCATGCAGCGGGATGCTGCCCGCCAGGTAGAGGTTGCCATGTGTCAAGCAGAGGTTGTGGCTTAACAGGCAGAACTGATTGCCAGGCTCCAGCAACAGCAGCAATCGCAACAATCCAGAGCATCTGCTTCGCATCCACCCCTGCCCCCACCTAGAGTTCCAACACTCGGGGATACTACAAACTTCCAGGAAGTTACAGACGCTCCAACAGGGCCAGTGCCACCACCAGTTCTACCACAGACTTCAAAGACACCGACCTTCTCAACAGATACACTGTTTGAATCTGAGATGGACCCAACCGCTCTGAAGATGAGTAAGCTTGAAAAGCTGTTTAAACAGGCCCAGGGAGTCAACTTGATACCAGATATAGAGGATGGTTACACTGATTCGGCGGTAACATTACCGGACAGATTCAAGATGCCCCATATAGACCCTTTTGACGGCTCGGGCGACCTATGGTTCATCTGAGGCTGTTCTCGGATATTTTGCGCCCGTTGGGCTTGACGAGACTCAAGAAACTTTCACTCTTTGGCTGAACCCAATCCATAACCCAACCAAATATTGTGCCTTTCACCAACAGCACGGTCACGACACCGACCAGTGCTTCAGACTGTGTCATGAGATTCAAGATCTCATTGACAACAAGGTGATTACACCTCCTGACAAACCAAATGTCACCACCAACCCATTCCCACCACATAACCAAGCTCCAGCACCCAAGCACATCAACCTGATCCAAGCCACGGCCATTCCGCATGACCCAAGCATATACATCACGCCCTTCCACCTACCCAAGCCTGACGTGTTCATCCCAGACAACATGAACTTGTGTATGTTGAGCATCTTCCAAACCCAACCTGGTGATTGTCGAAGACAGAATCGGGATGACTTTGGAGGCAGATGGGAATGTTGATTCAAAACTTGAGGGATCTAGGGGCTTTACCGAGGGAGCATACAACCTGAGTGGGTATATCGTATCATCGGATCAGGTCAAGCTGAGGGTAGAGTTGCCAGTTGGGGCAGAAATCAGCGTGGTCCGAGAGGATAGACCTGGTCGGGGGCTAGATGACCTAGCAGAGTTGGAAGAGGACATTGCAAATCTGCGGTTCTTTGAAAAGCAGGGCTCAGGGGCTGTGAACGTCAACTGGTTCAACTTGGATGGATCGGCAAAGAATACGAGGTGGCTTAGTGACCAGCCAGATGTTGTTAAAGAATCTCAGCCAGAACAGGGACTGTCAGGAACGAGAACATCAGCAGTGGCTAGAATGGACGAGAATCAGGAAGAATCACCGGAGAGCACCGGTGCGAAGAATTTTGCTCGGGATTCAGGCAGTTTGAGTACAGTAAACACTGAACAAGAGGCTGCACTGAAGCGGCTTGAGCAGGAAAAGATCAAGGATCTTGAAAGGGCTAAAAAAGCCAAGGCCTCTACAGGGACAAAATGTGCTGTGAGCATAGAAACAGTTGCAACAAAACCAGACAGCTGTCTGTTGGTTGTCGACGGGATGTGGTGGGAAGACGACGACCTACGTCTTGCCCACACTGACGAAGATTGGGGACAGAACCAACCAAATGACACCTGGTATGTTGAGGAGGTTGACCATATGACTAGGAGTGGGTGGTATTTCAAACCCCCACACTTGGACCAGCCAGAGGCGTCCGGGAAGGACAAAGAAGCAAAGAGGCAGAAAGAAAAGCTGCTAGAGGAGGAAGTTGTGCTGAAGCAACTTAAGAAAATCCAAGCAGACATCTCCTTCTGGGGACTGCTTATGGCCTCGAGAGTTCACAGACAAGCTGTCCTTTCTGCCATGGGCAAGGCGAAACTTTCAATTGATACCACACTCGAACAGTTGGTAGGGCTTGTTTTCCCTGGGGGAGCTTCCCCAACCTTGACCTTCACTGACAAAGAATTACCGCCCGAGGGCTTAGATCATAACAAACCACTCTACATCTCTGTGGAGTGTAGAGAGAAATGGATACCGGTGGTCCTGGTCGACACGGGGTCCGCAATCAATGTATGTCCGTCGAGAACGACGTATGCTATCAAGTTAAAGCCTGCAGATTTCGTGCCTACGGCCCAGGTGATTTGAGCCTATGATAATACCATCCGGGAGGTGATGGAGACCGCACAGATTAAGACTCAGGTTGGTCCAGGGCAGTAGGACATTGAGTTTCATGTCCTGGATGTTTCCGCAACCTTCAATCTACTCCTTGAGCGGCCATGGCTGCACCAGGTGAAAGCTGTCTCTTTCACTTTACACCAAATGCTGAAGTACCCCCACGGGAAGATGGTGGCAATTGTTTTTGGAAATTCTTTGATATATCCGCTGCCAGAGGCTTCTACACCAATTCTGGAGATTGATCATGGTGCAGAAGATGTATTTTTGTCAGGATTCACCCTAGTTGAGGCCTATGTTGTACAGGATATGCTAGCTGTTGATGAGGGGCTATACGTCAGTGCACAGTCTGTCTACCTTATGAACAAGCTTCAACACATCCTCGGGATGGGATTAGGGCGAAGTGGTCGGAAGGGCATCGCAGCATTGGCCGAAGTGCCGCATAACCCATATACCTTTGGATTAGGTTATTTTCCTACCAAAGAGGATTGGGCGAGGAAAGGAAGAGAGATGGCCGGAAGAGCCAAGGCAAAGCAAGCCGGGAAGCACTACGAGTTAGTGCATAGGCCTATCTAGGGGACTCTGAAAAGACGCTTTGTTCGGGAGGGGGAAGACTTCCCGTTTGTGGCTTTCCGGAGCCCTGGTTGAATTAAGAGAAGCGGTGTTTGGCTAGCTTTGAAATCTTTTTTTATCTACAGTTGTCTGGGGATGAAATTGCCGAAGAGCAGACAGACCCACCAGCTAAGGCTGAGCAGTGCAAGGAGGAGGATTCCGAGAGCACAAAAATTGAGATGGGGGTAGCGCTAGCTTGTCTCCTCTGAGATCGTTAGATCGTACCGGAGTGCTTAGGGGATAACTTCTCAGTTTCCATGATCGGGGATGAAATGGCTGTGGGCCCATCTTCAGGCCTTCTCGATGCATCCATCGTACCCTCCCTCGTCTGGCAATACGAGGAGGGCTTTTTATCGAGCAGTTCCAGGTCAGGTAGTGAGCCGAAATCTGATTCCACTGAGTCTGTGGAGTCGGAATTAGATTCCAGCTCTTCTGAGTCTGAGTCTGGTATTCCTGGGGGTGATAACCCGGATGCCACTTTCCTGTCCAGGTCGTCCTTTTCATTTTCCTTTGAGTCTGTTGTAACCGAAGGATCAGACGGACTAGATGTTATTAATGAGAATGGTACGACTGTGGCTTCCAAGTACTTTTTTATGCCTTTAATTTATTGCATTAATCAAGACTTTCAAAATTTTGATAAAAATGACGAGGAAGAAATTCCTCCGATTTTGAAATATTTACTTGATCAAAAGCAGGAGAGGTTTGTAAAACCTTTGGTTGATGAAATCATCACAATTAATGTTGGTACTGAGAAGGACTCGCGGCTAGTCCAGATCAGGTCCATGTTGTCTTCGAAGGAGTGCGAGCGCTTGGTTGCTTTATTAAAAGATTTCAAAGATGTTTTTGCGTTGTCCTACGAAGACATGCCTGGAATCCATCCTAAGATTGTACAGCACCGAATCCCTCTTGACCTAGAGGCCCGACCTGTTAAGTAGAAGCTCTGAAGGATTTGCCCGGACTGGGCCCTGAAAATCAAAGAAGAGGTCACCAAACAGATTGACGCAAGGTTCCTATTAGTATCGGAGTATCCAACTTGGTTGGCCAACATTGTGCCGGTGCCGAAGAAAGATGGCAGGATTCGAGTATGTGTGGACTTCAGGGATTTGAACAAAGCCAACCCAAAGGATGACTTTCCTCCGCCGCATATCGACGAATTAGTAGACTTCACTGCTGGGCATGCGCTGCTCTCATTCATGGATGGGTTTTCAGGTTAGAATCAGATTGTGATGGCACCAAAGGGCTTATAAGCTTAGTTGTGTGTGCAGTCTTTTGAGGATGCATGGAAGGCTACGTGCTCGGCAAGAGAAGTTTCAGGTTTTAGTCCAACCATGCACGTTCTTGATAGCTATAAGTTCTTGCTACAACCTGTAATCTTTAGTGGCCTTTGCAATTCCGAAGCCGTTAACGTCGTGGTAATTACAATTTTAGATTCATAAATTTTCTCATATCATATGTCATCATTATAGGTCAAATTATTTTTTGCGTCTCAAATATTTTATTAAAATTTTTGTACAACTAAAATCATTAGTACAAATAATTTGAAATATTTACTTCAATATTGTGGGCTTATACTGGCCCAATAATAACACGGTACAATCTTTCTTTTAACTAGAAATAAGTTATCCTATCATACATTTCAATATTTTTATTTTTCTCTTATTTATTTATTTTTAATATATTGTTATTGAATTGTTAAATTGATATGGTTTATTATAGATAGATGGAAACCTAACAGCACCAAGTCATCCTTCAAAATGGAAGTGCGACAGAAGTAACTGCCAATGGATAGGATTTACTGAGATCAATGGTCTCTACATTTATGGCTCTGGTACTATTAATGCCCAGGGTACCAAATGGTGGGGTTCCTCCAATGTCAATCACACTAGAAAGGCAAGAAGCCTCCTCTCTCACTTCATTTAATTATTTTTAAAATAATTATCACTGTCACACCATTTTAATTTAAATTTGTTGTACAAAATAAGGGGTGGTTTGGCATCCTCTATATAATTCATCTTTTTCATCTTTTTTTCATCACATCACCTCTCTACTTTTCTGCACATCTTTTCGTAAAAAGACAAAAAAATACACTTATTTAGATCATCCCAAACAACCTTTAAATATTAAATCCTTTTTTTTTTTGGGCTTTACTAATATAAGTTTCTTTTCTTCTTTTCAGTACCATGGGTCAAAACCAACGGTGAGTGACACTAGATTCTTTGTTTTTAAATTATTTTGTTCCTATGTTTACATTGTAAGTACTACGTAATGTTTCGAAATAATATTTTTGAAAACATTTAATAATTTTTCATGTTTTTACAGGGGTTCGTAATAGCACATTCCAACCATGTGCATATAAGTGACCTAACCTTCATAAACAGCCCTCAAATGCATATGGCGTTGGAAAGGTCGACATGGGTATATGTTTATAATCTCACCATCACTGCCCCCGGCGATAGCCCAAATACTGATGGCATACACATTCAACATTCCACACACGTCTTCATAAGCCAAACTCACATTGGAACTGGTATATTATCAAACATAATAATACTATCTCTCTTAATTTTATACCGTGTGACCAAAAAAAAAAATTATTGTGCAAGATATTTTGTTTTGAGATTCCTACATAATTCTACCATTGGAAGCATTTTGCAATGATCCAAAAGATTTGGAACTGAAAGTCGATGCTTGGTGCTTTACATATGTATATTTTAATGCAGGAGATGATTGTATTTCCATCGGAGATGGTTCATTATATCTCAACATTAGCATGATCACATGTGGACCAGGTCATGGCATAAGGTAATAGGAAAGACCTTTTTACAGTTCCCTCTATCTTTTGTTATTGTTGTTATTATTTTGAAATTGATTTCATTTATTTTTAAATTCCTTCTTTGATAAAAGTATTGGAAGTTTAGGTATAAAAGGGCCATATGAGACAGTAGAGAATGTCTATGTAAGCAATGTGGAATTCAGAGGAACTTCAAACGGAGCAAGAATCAAGACATGGCAGGTAATTAGTGAACACATGATTATTAGAGTTATGATATCAAGAATATAATATATGAGGCAAATTTGTAAGCTTATCACTTTAATACAAAAAAACTCAATGCCTATTAATATCAATAATGTCATTGTTATATTATTTGATAAATAACTATTTTTCTCGTTTGTTTTGTTGTTAATTATATTGTCCCTTTGGCATGCTTAGGAAGGGAGCGGATTTGCAAGGAACATTGTGTTTGAGCATATAAGATCCATTGGTTCAGTTCATCCCATCATCATCGATCAATACTATTGTGACCACACACATTGCAAAAATCAAGTGAGCATTTCTTACTCTATGACTATGACTCTTTTTTTACTTGGATTTTTTAGTTTTGTACTCAAAAATAGTAATTTTTTGATCTTTTCAAAATACATTAATCTAACTTAACATTGTGATTAATGTAATTAACTTTCTCAGAAATCAGCCGTGCAAATTAGCAATATCAGATACAGTTATATTTACGGGACATCGAAGGAAGATACAACGATACACTTTGCATGCAGTGAGATAGTTCCATGCAAAGATATTATGTGTGTCAATTTTCGACCACAATGCCAACTTAGTACTCAACTGGAGAACACCGGCAGAATAGGTTAAGCCCGAACGACCTGCAACAGAAAGAAGAGTTTTAGGCGGTGGCTCATCTACCTGGGGGTACTTTGACGATCAAGTCAGTACTCAATATCTCTCAAAGATAACCAATAGTGCTTAATTCACTAGACAGAATATCAAAAGCATACCTTCGACCCATGGGGGTGCCTCCCTTTTATAGCCAACACAATCCTAGTCCCAATAGGAGCTTAGCTCTAATGGACTTAGGATTACTGCTAATCTTAGACTCCCAGTGGGATTAGGATAAACTCTCTAAGAGTCTCATCTTTACCTAAACTGAAGTCTTCTCTCATTCTAGGACTCTTGTCCCTTATCCGCTTATCTCGGATTCCGGTATTCTCACAGATAACCTCGGCTTAGCCGAGATTACCTCGGCGTCATGACCAGGACGTGTCGCACCTCGGCTGGCACTTCGGTGACACCTCGGCCACGTGTTGTCATTCAAAAATTATGTCCTCACAGATATGTGTATATATATATATATATATATATAAATGACATCTACCTTCAATCGACTCAACTGTGTACAGAAACGACGTCGTTATGTCAAAATGTTGCTGGAAGGAAAAATGGTCCAGTTTTGCCTAGTGTCCCTTGGTTGACTGATTGATAAATTTGTACTAATTCAAAATGAGTACCATATCTACTATAGTCAATATATAGTTAAATTTATTTTGCTGATTTTCGTACCAACTCAAGGTTTTATTCGTATTAAAGGTATCTAAAGTTTGCTTTTCAGAACAAATGTGCTATTTAATGCTTTGTTAGTCATATGATATATAGATTCACATTTAATATAGGGTGAGTTTTAATTACAATAAATTTAGTTTACGCATTTTATTTTGATCACTTTTTGAAACTATTCTTGTTTTTAAAAAGTTGTCAAGTTCCAAATAATTCCACGTATGGGGCATTTAAAAAAAAAATCAGTGCAATGGGACTTACTAGCTACTAAGGGTGCTCAGGGAATATTTTGATACGTTCAAACCAACTAAATCGAACCCGAATCGATTCGTCACATTTTAGATGGATACGTGATGACAAGCGGACGGTTGCAGATTGATTTTTTTTAATCAATCTAATTTTGGACGGATGACGGATTTGAGATTTTTTTGACTACAACCGAACAGCCAAACCGTAAGCACTCCTAATAATTTGTAAGACTTTGTGCTTTCAATTTATTTACATATTTTGTTTGTATTTTCAATTGAAAAAGAGTTTAGATATTCTGTTGTATTTTCAATTTGTTTTCAATTTGAAATCCTTTTATCAAATGACAAGTGTTGATATTTGGTATTTTTGTGTGGAAAATATAAGGCTTATTTTCGTCATTTTTAAAAAAAAATCAAATTAAATAGTTTTTGAATAAAAAAAAGTAATGAAATAATTTTGATAATACATGATTTTCTCATATATTTATTTTTAGTATTTGATAATTTACTTGATAAGCTTTTTAATGAAAAATCATTAAAAAATACGTTATATTTTTGTTTTATCTAAATCTCAAAAATTAAATCCATTCAACACGTTGGTATTCAAGAAAATAGATAATAAATACATTTTTGAAAATATCAAATTCTTTGAAGTTCAAATTTAAAATTGAAAAATGTCCAACTAGTCTCAAATTAATCTAAAAGTTAATGCCAACATAGATGTTTAAATCTTATCATTATCCTAAACGTTTACGCAATAAATGTTTAAAAAAATTTGACTCCAAATTTTTTATTTATTTTCAATTTAAATTATTTGTCTATAAGTAAAATTAGCAATATATATATATATATATATTAGTCATTAAACTCAATAAAAAAAATATTTTAGATATTTTATGTACACTTACATTGAATTTAATAACAAAAATACTCTTCTTCTTTTTTTTGTGTATATTGAAAGCAAATCAAAAGATTGTAATTTAAATGGACAAAATAAAAAATTTAATATTTATTTTGTAACGCCCTCAAAATAATAACATTAATTCATCAGATAAGACATGCATTTACAAACAAACCAACCATATTCTTTTATTCATTAGAGTTCCATATACATAAGTATTACATGTTAACATCAAAACAAAATGCCCTACGGGCTTACAGCTTTCCAAGTTAACACTTGGTTACAACAAAAGGGTACTAACTCGTTTACACATTAAGCCCTTGGCTTGAAGTTACATGTAATACATCAAAAGTTAAGCGACAAAAATATGTCCGCCTCTAGCCTCCCAGCTATGTCCTTGGAGGTGGCATGCTTCCTGCACCTGAAAATGATATTCCCATATAGGGTGAGCCACAGCCCAGTAGAAATACACTAAACCAACCATGAACAATGACTAAAACATTAGCAATTGATAGTTGGTCAACACTGATACAATCACAGAAATAACATATTTATGTCAACGACTTACAAGTCCAAATTACTTTTCATTTTCCCTTCTTGTTATATCATATCATTAACTAGCTCTATCATTATTTCCACAGATATGTATAAAAACAATATCCAACATTCAGATAAGCATATAAGCTATATCCACATTCTCAACAGATATGTATAAAAACAATATCCTACATTCACAGATAAGCATATAAGCTGTATCCACACATCACAAAGATAAGCATAGAAGCTCTATCTTCACTTCTAGACAAGCATAAGAGCTGTATCTACGGAGTTCATCCCCTATCTTCCTCCCAACACTATCCGGTTTAGAGGTACATCCCCTATCTTCCCCTAAACCGCGGAGTACATCCCCTATCTCCTCCTCTACACATAACGTATACAAACACAATGGTTCTATATACAATCACCCAATACATACAGTTAATGTATTCTATCAACCGTCAAGTTCCATGACACACTTCATTGATTAGTTTCAGTTTGCCTAATCAACATGCATTGTCACACAATCACGACTATCCTCCCACCGATAGCCCAAGCAGTTATTTCTAAACAGAAAATAAAATGCACAAATGGATATTCAACCAACATTTCATTTCCTCATTTCTTACCATTAATTATCCCAATTAATCAAACAATGTAATTAGGCCATTTTCCATAATTACCATTTCAACCCTTAGGTCCCATTTTCATCAATGATTCAACATCAATTCCATTTCTCTATTCCAAACATGCATCTAGGTTTATTATGAACCAAACCCCAACTTTTGTAAAATTACACAAAAGCCCCAAACTCTTACAAAATTACCACAAGTCAAGCCCAACATCTCAAAATACCAAATTTAAAGACAAAATCTATAGAGAGGAGTAGGAATATCCCTACCTCGAAGTTTGAGCCAAAAAGGAGATGAAGACTCGAAGATCAACTTGCTCCAAATCCAAACTTTTTCAGATTAAAACAAAGCTCTCAATGCCCTCTATCTTTTTAACAAAGGCCCTAGGCTAGATTCACACCCTAGGGAGATCAAATCTTAGAGAGGGTGTAAGTTTAGAGAGAGAGGGTCTCGATTTAGGTTTTGGTCAAAAGAAAGTGAAAAAAGTGAAGTTCAAATCGCTACTGACCGCTGATATAAAACCGCTCGCTAGAGCGAGACTTGGTCGCTCGAGCGACCAGACACAGAAACTCTCGCTCGAGCCAATGACTCTTGCTCGAGCCAAAAACTCAAAAGTGCGCTCGAGCGAAGGAATGCTCGCTCGAGCCAACAACTCGAACCCTCAGGTCTGCAACCACAAGCACGCTCGAGCGACAGACCTCACGCTCGAGCGAAAAACAAACCAGACCGCTCGAGCCAAGAAAAGCTCGCTCGAGCCAAGAAACACAACTCTCAGGTCCAGAACCAGACGCAACACTCGCTCGAGCGAAGCCACTCTGGCTCGACCCACCAGACACAACTCACACTCGCTCGAGCGACAATCTCCTCGCTCGATGCGATAAGGTCCAAAAATCTGGGCAGCAACACTAGGCTCCCAAACACAACCAACCTGTAACAAACCTGCCCAACACATCCTATAACTCAATAGACAAAGAAAAGAGGATGCAACAAGATAATAAACAACTACCAACATCCACGGACACATGTCCGGATCACTGTACAACAAGGGTAAACCCGGGGTCGCTATATATTTTATTATAAGTCTCAAAGGATTATTTTTTATTTGAGCAATGCTTGGTAGCCTGAAAAGAAGGTTGGCTCGAATGGTTCAAAATTTATCTTACCGGTCATTTAGGCAAACGTCCAACCGGTCATCCGATGAGAAGGTTGACAGTCGCAATAGACAAAGACGACAACTGCAGAAGACAAGTTTTCACCCGGTCATCCGAGTGGACGTCTGGTGAACACTCATTCGGGCCATTCGAGTCCCTTCTGTAACAACCCAGATTTTTAATTATTCTGTAGAATTTATACTAATATTATTTAATCTCAGTTTGAAAAATATATAATTTATTATATATTATTATGTGTAATTTTGTAAAATAATATAATTAGTAAAAGTTTAGGGGTCAAAATATAAATAATAATAATATAAATAATAATAATAATGGTGCGGTACTAAAATAAATAATTAATTTTCTGTTAGTATGAAATAAAATATAATTTAATTAAGAATTAATTAATTTATATAATTATATTAAAATATTAGATCAAAGTGTAATTATTTTAAATAATTATTTGGAATAAGATTGAATTTACGAATTCATTATCAAAATCTGAGGGATATTTATGGCCTGGCCACGTGTTGCCCGATGGATGGCCTCACCACCCTATAAATAGGAAGAGTGATCAACCTAAGAAAGGAAAAGAAAGAAAAAACGAAAGAAAGAGAGGAAAAGGAAGGAAAAAATAGTGGAAGTCGAAAAAGTTTTTGATAGTAGAAAGAAAGAGTAAAGTATTAAAATAAATGTGAGTTATATTATATCTTAAGTTACTAAAATGTATTTTATTTATGTTTTGACTTACCAAAATCTATTTTACACAAGTTATGTTTTATTAGCATATTAATAAAAGTTATATTTTATAAAGATTTCAGTTACGTGATTTTATTTCTGAACCCTATTTGCTTAAAAGGAAATCCATGGATATGATTATTTATATTTTAAAGAATATTTGGCTATGACCTTATATACAATTATGTTTTGTAAGTATCACTACAGGAGTCCCACGCATTGGGGGACTTAAATAACCATTGGCCTCTGTTTGGCCACTTTATGACTCTCTGTTTGTCATGGATCTATCGACCTCTGTTCTGTGCGGAGCTAAGTGTTACACTATTGTGGGAGCCACCTCTAAAATCCGTACGGGCCACCTCTTGAATCTGTGCCTCTGTTCTGTGCGGACCAAAGTGCTGTGCGGAGCTAAGTGCTACACTGTTGTGGGAGCCACCTCTAGAATCCGTACGAGCCACCTCTTTAATCCGTACCTCTGTTCTGACTGTCACTTCTGTGACCTCTGTTCTGTTCTGTAACCGTGGTTATGGTTAGTTATTTACATAAAATCTGTATTTCAGTTTCTGCCACCTAAATGATTTATTTACATAATCTCAATTTTGCTACTTAAAGGATTATTTGTTCCGACTCAGTTATCCTAAATGTTTTGGCCTAACTAACTATCCATGGTTATTTCGTGTCCCTTATACTCTTGGTATAACATTTTTCACTCTGTCATGTGCTTATAGTTGTTTACCAATTTTCAGGAAATAGCTTTGGAAAGTCTTAGATGCGGGGCTGCGGAATAGACACACACAACACTTTTATTGATATTTTTCTATGTAAATATCAGCTTTTTTGGTCAGTAATTTTGTAATAAAAATAGAAACTCCAATGATTATTTTGGTACTCTCATTTAAATATCACTTCCGCTTGCGTTTATTAATTTGTTTATGAATTGGCCGGAGGTAAGTTCAGTTACTGGCCATCACGATGCTTAATCATTGGGTACGGGGAGCGGGTCGTGACACCTTCTTTTGGGGCTACCAAGCATTAATCTTTTTAATTTTATTTTTTTATTATAATTGTCGTAAAGATTTTTTTTAGTGAAAATGTGGTCCTTTTTGTCAAAAACAAACTTTTTTTTAAAATTATTTATAACTTATCCGTATCAACTAAAAAACAGGTGCCTAAAAAATCTAAATCAAACGAAGCATTGGTTGTGCTATGATTCCTCTAATTGAATGCGCGATTTATTTGGGATTCTACAGAGAGACTCCATAAAACCCTATAGTATTGGTTACGATAATCCAGTACGTTATAATACCGCAAGTAAGTAGGATATTGAGATTGCAATTTTGATAACTATCTGTTATTGCAACCTTTTAAACAAACGGAGCATTAATTGTGTTGTGATTCCTCTAATTGAAGGTGCGATTTAATTGGGATTCTACAGAGAGAATATATAAAACCCTATAATATTGGTTACGATAATCCAATACGGTACAGTATCGTAAGTAAGTAGGATATTGAGATTGCGATTTTGATAACTATCTGTTATCGCAACCTCTGCTTAAACATTCACAGCTCTCTCTCTCTCTCTCTCTCTCTCTCTTTCTCTCTACGCGGTACAAAGGCCATGTTTAGTTCTCTTTTAAAATGTTCGTTTGGCATGCCTTTGGAGTTAAAATAATCATATAAAATAAAATAAATTATTTTAGTTAAATAAGAGAAAATGTTACATTTAATTTATAATCATTTCATTTTTTTTCTTATAAAATTTAAAAAATTCAAAAAATCTATTTCAAACGAGACTTTTTAACTTGTTTGACAACATCACTTTTTAGTCTAAGGCTTCGTTTGGGAACAGGTTAATTTAGTAACTTTTTGACTATTTGGCTAAAATATGAGCTAAAAAAAACTAGTATGTTTGGGATGACTTTTTGATTTTTTACGAAAAGATGTGCAAAAAGTAGAGAGAAAAGAAAATATTTGACTTTTTGGTATGAGTTGTTGACTTTTTGACTAATTTAGTAACTTTTTAACTTTTTGGCTAAAAGGGAGGATTCCCAAACGAGGCAAAAGCTAAAAATTCACTAAAAAAATCAAAAGTCAATAACCTATACCAAAAAGTCAAATATTCTATTTTCTTTTTACTTTTTACACATTTTTTTGTAAAAAAATTAAAAAGTCCTCCCAAACATACTAATTTTTTTTACATTATATTTTAATCAAAAAGTTAAAAAATTACTAAAAAAACCTGTCCCAAACGAGACCTTAAAATAACTAAAAAATCAAAAAACCAAATCACAAAGCTCAAAATCACAATTCCAATGAAAAAAAATTTAAAACTCTTTCTAAAATTCATAACTAAACACACCGTTCAAAACTTAATTTAAAAAATTATTTTCAAAACGGAAACCACGTCACAAAACTCAATTTTAAGCTCTTTTTAAAACCCAAAACCAAACCCTTTTCTCTGCTTAAACATTCTCAGCACTACTCTCTTTCTCTCTCTCTCTTTCCACGGTCCCAATCTCTTCTCTGTTTCTCTCTCATCGTTTCTTCGCTTCTTTACTGCAAGTATATATGTATATGTTCGCCGCTCATGAATGCTTGTTTACTAGTTGAAACTTTGATGTATTAGGGTTTGTTCAACCGAAAATAGAACCTTTTTTTTTTGGGATTAAGTAGTCGATTCTTGCATGAATTTGATATCGAAACTAGAGAAATATATCACTGAGATTTGTTTTTAGCTTTGTAGTTTTGTTATATTGTTTGTATCAGATCTCAATTTTGTTGTTCATATAAGAATTTGTGGTTTTGCTTTTTGAATTTTTGTTTTGCGAGTCATTAGCTTATTTATTATCCATGGTAGATTTGTTGGAAATTTAATAGTATTTAATTAACTGTTAATTTTATTTTACTTGTTTAATTGATTGATCTTGCTTGATGGACTTGACTACATACCATAGTTGTAGTAGACATCAGTCTCTCTCAAATGCTTATGTTAATCTCGCTCCATTCCACATCAGTTATAGTTAAATTCTGTGGCATAACATGATTCAAATTGAATTTGCCTTTTGTTTCCTTTACTTTCAAGAACTTTATTCTTGATTTTTGATTTTGATTTCCTCGGTGGTTGTGCTTTGAAACCTATATATGCCATTGAGAGGAGTTTTTTTTTGTTTTTTCTTCCTGCTTTAATTTTTTTTTTTTGATACTTTCAATCATTCTTTCATGTTGTCCTATCAGGTTATGTGTGGTTTGTTGCTCTGCTCTGAGAAGTTAAAACTGTTTTCAGATCAAGTAGTTATTTCCTTAAAAATGTTTCAGTCAGAATATTTTTCATGCTTTTAAATGAATAAGATTGTATTTTTTTTGTTAGATGGTGAAATAAGATTGTATTGAAGTCTGCTTTTTCGACCAAATAAGAGTAGTGTTGGGAAATGAATAAATGGAAATACAAATCAAAATAGCTCAGGACGAAAATTATATATCTCCAGGATGGGATCAGCAGTATCTGTTAATTAGTATTGTGAAACTAATTGGATGTCTTAAAATTTTGTTTTTTTGTTTTCATCCCATCTTTTTCATTGTTGGGCTCGTACTCTTCTGCAGTTGAGTTATCTATTTGCTACAAGGGAAACAACTAGGCTAAAAAGAACCTTAGTCTAAAGGAACACAGAAATTGCATGATGAACTAATAGAGGATAAGATCGTAGTTAGCTTCTTCTGTATCCAGTTATCATGGATGTTCTTAGAACTGGTACTTCACTGTGTCAATGCAGATTTGTACAAGGTGCTTGTGAAGGAGCTTGCTCAGACTCTGGAGAGACAGTTCTCCGAAAATGCAGAATCTCGAGCTGCAGGCATGGTAATAAATACCATGGGATGGATAGAGGGTGTTGGTTATGAGGTAACTGAGTTTCAAGTTTCCATTGTTAGTCCTGCTTGTTATATTAAAATTCATGAGTACTCCATTAGTATCGATTATGTGAGATATGTTGTTTAATTAGTATAGTGTATGAGCACGAAATAATTCTTCTCGTATAATCCTGTTGATCAAGTTTGCGCTCCTCCAAACGTCGTCGCTTTACTTCCTGAAAACACAAACGTGAGCTAGCTGGTGGGTGTGTGCCGGATACCTCTCCGATGCCTAAGTCAACAAAATAGACGAATAGACAAAAGCTCTGTATATTTGGGAATCAAAGTTGTGTTACCTCTCCATAGGTGATGTTGTGAGCTTTTATAGGTTCCGCGTGGCACAATCCTAGTAGGACTCTTATTCCTCCATGTAGAGTCCTCCTAGGAATCACACTCCTGAAAGATAATGCTTATTTTTCAACACCCCCATCACTGCTTAAATCAAGTGAGATGGTCTTTACCTCGCTAGTGTGACAAAACGACCAAGCTAACATAGCCACGCTAAAGCGACAGAAATGACCGAGCTCCAACTATCTCAATTCTTCACTTCATTGCTTGTACCTCGGTTTGGTCCGTCGAGATCGAGCTAACCATAGCAAGCTTGGATCGGGCTAATCAAGAGCAAGGTCTTGAGGAAAGCTCAAATCATCTTGGTTCAAAATGGTATGACCGAGCTAATTACACCACACTGACCGTGGTAACCCCAAGGACAATTGGACCGAGCTAATCTGTAAGGTCCTTTTACTAGGCCTTTTTTACGACGGCTCATAGAATGGCCCATTACCCAACTCGGCCTAATTTACTTATAAATTACCCTCTCAATTGCCTCTTAATTCCATCTGCGCAGCATGATTGGGATTACCCGTTACCAACCGAGCTAAAAGCTTTTGCCTTTCAACCGAGCTAAAATACCGCCGGGCTACCAATTGGTTCGGTCAAAAAACGTCTCTTCAGTCACGCTGTCATCTGAATCGCTTGCTATTCCATAGACACGTGGCTGGCCCCTACTGGTTGAGTACAGCTGTCAACGCCGACTTCGTATCTCGCGAATTTTGAACAGTCCCGCATTTTTTCACTCTTTTTACTCCAAAACCATATGCTTTGAACCATTCATTTCTACTATTCATCTTCCCTCTCTCTTTTCCTCTAAGTTTCTGTTCTTGCAACCACAGTGCCTGCGAATCTTGTGCTTTTGCTGATATTGTTTCCATCTTCAGCTCCTTCATTCTTGACTGGTATGTGGCACAAATCTATTTCCTTTCTGTTTATTTCGTACTGTTTTGTAGCACATAGCGTAGTATGTATGTTTCTCAAAACACTTTGTAGTTTCCATGGGACATGGCTACTTTTGCCCAAGAACCATGTAATAGATCTACTAGATTCACGAACAATCTAGGACACAATGCTTTTGATGCAAAATAATACTTCAACCGAGCTAGGAAGTCATTTGTATTAGGTGCGAACCTAGCCAAACTAGACAACCAAACTAAAAACTTTATGTCATACTTTTAGTTTTAATAGGTCTAAGTACCTCCTGTATCAATTTGCCGAGCTAGCGAACTATATTAGGTTTGCGCAATATCGTGCTAGAAAGCCTCAACCACCGACTGAGCTATATCTTGGAGCTAAACCAGCTCCCTGACTTAGACAAAATCGAACTAAGAATGTGTCACCATAAACCTCAACCGGGCTACGAACTTCTCATTTACCTAGCCGGGCTAAAGTCCTTTGTTCCAACCGAGCTAAGAATGAAAAGTATCCTATGTAGCCGAGTTAGGACAACATTTATTTTAGCTTTGTTACTTTTAGCACGACCCATCAACCTGTGCTTAACACTTCTCCTATTCACTTTGTAGACTCTGACTAGGTTGGCTAGGCACCTCCTTTGCATGTTCAACCGAGACACCCAACAGTCTTCTCAGCACCAGGCTAAATTATACATAATTTAAGCCCACATGGGTAAATATAGGTTTTTAGTAAACTCCCCAGGGGCCATGGCCGGGTTCCGAAGGGACTACAACATTCCCGATGACGTTCACCTTAGTTTGGCCGAACTAGACACCATTCCCCGGGGTAAAACGGGCTTCGTTCCCTTCACCCTTCTTTCAATTATAGAAACCGGACTCCGATTCCCTGTACAGCCTCTTCTTTGTAAATTCCTCAAACAAACAAACCTTTGCCCAACCCAGCTTTCCACAAATTCGTACAGAATAGTAAATGGCATTACCGAGCTAAAGTGCCGGCTTGGCCTCAACCTCGATTTAGCCAAGATATTTCACCAATACTCTCTAGGCCAAAACGAAGACGGCTGGGTTTATTATTTAAGAATAAGGTGCCGCCGTGAAAAGATAATAAAGAAGACCCCGGATAAGAACGTCAATGATGACGATTTTTTCTGGATTTCTGGGAATTTTAAAGACCATGAGGCCTAGATCCCAGGCGACCGAATTAACTGGAACAAAGGAGTTGCCGGTATAATTACCTCAACTTAGTTTTATGCTTTCTTTACCGCTAATTTCATTTTCAACCGGTCTAACCATTGTCTTTTTTCTTTATGCAGATTTGAACTTTCTCAAGTCCCAGTACAGCTACCCCAACCTTGATGCCCTTCACGCTGCACTAAGATATCCAAATCGAAGTTGGGCCGAGCTACTCAACTTCGAGCCGACCTACAGATACAGTAGCAGGAGGAAGACCAGGGTGACAGACTTCCTCTTGGAGCCCTCTCCTAAACCTGATCCAACCTTCCCACAAATTAATCTTATCCCGTTGACTGCAGAACAAGAGATGGTAAAAAAGAGAGTAGTGAGAGCTCTTATCACTGAAACCAACCAGGCCGAGGTACCTCCAGCTAGCCAGACAAACGAAGCCGTGGTAGCGCTTCCCACCTCCCAGTCGTCATCATCTAGGCCAAGCAAGCATGCTTAGACTTCCACAACCGAGCCACGCCTTATTGATGAGGAGGAAACCATGATTCCGCAAACCACACCACCAAGCCCACAACCCGAGCATTCAGACCGGGCTAGCCCATCAGAATGGGTGCCCAAGGTCAGCTACAAAAATCGAGCTATCACTGATTTCGACTCAGTGGTAGCCGAAAAGGACCATTCGCTGGCCTTTAATCTCGCCAAGAGCATCTGCCTTCCAGCCGATATGGAACATCACGAGCACCTAACCGAGCTGAAGGCCATTCGCTCGACAACAAAATCAATGGTGTTGGTAAGTTCTCCTTTTCCTTCTCCAAACTTCAACATCTTTTCGCTCGGTTCATCTCAAAATTGTTTTTCTCCTTTTGCAAGCCTTACAGAAGAACCACATGGCTCACAAGCGCGTGTTGGAACTTCGAAAGACCACGAGGCAGGCCGTGGCAGAGGCCAATGCTAAATCGGCCGAGCTAAAAGAATCCCAGCAGAAGATGGTGGAGCTGCAAACCGAAGTAGCCCGGCTCATCGGCTTAGTCAATTCGGCTGAAGCAGATAAGCAGAGGGCTGCGGCCGTGCTGAAAGATAAATATCTGAGCGAGCTAGCCAAGCTCGAGGGAAAGAAAAATGTAGAGATCGTCGAGCTGGAAAAGAAGGTAGACGACGCGGAAGACCGTGGTTATAAAGAGGGCGAAGCCATCTACATCAAGCAATGCGAAGCTGCAAAGGATATTTTCTTCAAATGTGGATGGAAAGCGGCCGTGGCATAGCTCGGCCATGGTCCAGAGACCGAGGTCTTCCAAAGCACCCGCCACATTACATACCAAGCTACATGGTGGAGTATGCTACAACTATTCAACAAAAATTTCTTCAAAAATGGAAAGAAGAAGAAGAATCTGAGCCCAACAATGCCCCAGCCGTCGTCAATGATCCCGTTGTTCAATTAGCTCGGGTGGAGCCACCGGTGGAAGACTTGGTAGACAACGTGACCGAGCTACCTGCTGAGACCGGGCTTCGAGTTGATTTGGACGCGGATCTTGACTACCTCTTTGCTTGATCTTGTATTTTCTTCTTTTTGCTTTTGGAAAGAAACTGTAGCCGGGCTAAGGCCCCATCTTTGTACTTGATTTGAATTTTCAATGAAATCTTCTTTTGTTTCAACTGTTGTTTTGGTTTACTTTCACGCTTGCATTTATTTTCCAATTGTAATCTAAATGTAGTATAACATTTTCTGGCTGAGATACCTATCTCGGTCTTATCCTTGGCACTTCTCTGGTTATACCTGCCAACCTCGTCAGCCTAGGTTTTTACCTCGGCTGAAGATTACCAAAAGTTATTCCAGCCAACCACTCTTCAGCCTTGATCTTTATCTTGGCTGAGGAGTACTAAGTGTTGGTTTTTCCAACCAACCACTCTTCAGCCTAGATCTTTATCTTGGCTAGAGAGTACAAAATGTTGGTTTTTCCAACCAACCTCTTCAGCCCAGATCCTGACCTTAGCTGAAGAGAGTTCAAAGTTGGTTATTCCTGCCAACCTAGAGTGAAATG